CAAGGGTTGTCTGGCGAGAATGTTGACCTATCCTTGGACGACTCTGATCTCGGAATAGCCACGTTGTTTTATGAGGCACACCGGCCAGAGCCTCGTAAATCAAGTGAACAGACCCCGATCAAGCCTTCCTATTCCCAGGTTGCAGGATTGCCAGATACCTCTGTTTCCATGCCCGAGGGACTGTCCTTCCGGGAGGAACAACAAAAGGACCCTTCTTTAAAATTCGCTTTTCAGGCAGCCATGGGTAAATCCTCTTTGGATCATCCGGTCAAGTATGAACTTAAAAACGATTATTTGATCTGCACTGAGACTGGTAAGGAGATAGAGGGCCAGCAATTGTCTGACAGGTTAGTGGTTCCAACAAAGTTTAGACCTCAAATATTGAATGTAGCTCATAATACTTCATTAGGGGGTCACTTAGGAATTACTAAAACCTTGTATAGAATCACAAAAGAATTTTATTGGCCAAAATTAAAGCAGGATGTGAAGAATCATATCAGGTGTTGCCGAGAATGTCAGCAAGTAGGGAAACCTGGACATTCCATTAAACCTGCACCTCTCCAACCTATACCTGCTGATGGAGAACCTTTTGCAGATATAATTATAGATTGTGTAGGTCCACTACCTAGGTCAAAGTCGGGAAATCAGTATTTATTTACCATTATGGATAGAGTAACCAGATATCCTGAAGCAATTCCCATGCGCAGTATTAATACTAAAGCTATTCTCAAAGCTTTAACAAAATTTATTTCTTGTTTTGGCATTCCTAAAACTATTCAAAGTGATCAAGGTACTAACTTCACTGCCAAAGTATTTAGGGAAGCATTAACTAGGTTAGGGATAATCCACAACTTATCCACTGCCTGTCATCCTCAGTCCCAAGGCGCCTTGGAGAGATTCCTACAGACTGGGATCAATCACTACCTTTGTTGCTATTCTCAGTGCGAGAAACGGTGCAAGAATCTACCGGGTATAGTCCGTTTGAGCTGATCTTTGGGCACAATGTACGAGGTCCTCTTCGGGTGCTCAAAGAAGGATGGATGGGAGAAGACGTTAGCTCAACACTCTACAACCCGTCTTCAAGGTTGCAGGTGGCACGTCAGTTAGCCAAGGCTAACCTAAAGACAGCTCAAAATAAGATGAAACAGAGGTATGACAGAAGTGCACAATTCCGCTCCTTCCATCCAGGAGACAAGGTGTTGGTGCAGGAACCTATACCTGGCCACAACTTGAAAGCTAGATTTACGGGACCTATGCAAATTGTAAGTAAATTATCTGATGTAAATTATGTGGTAGCTCCTCTTGATAAGACCTCAAAAACTAAAACCTACCACATTAATCAGTTAAAATCTTTTCATACACCAGATAAAGTCCCAGTAATGACTCTGTCCTCTACCTCTGAGGACGACTCTGATTCTTTGCACTCTATTTCTGAAATTAATGTTAAACTTTCAAACTCTATCCTCCTCAAGAACCCTAGCTCTTTAATGGAGGGACTATCTGAAATGCAAGCAACAAGTTTAACTGAGGTTCTACAGTCATACCCTAATATTTTTTCGGATGTGCCGAAAAAATGTACGTTAGGTTATCATGATGTAGATGTGGGAAACTCTAAACCTATTAAACTCTCCCCCTACAGAGCTAATCCTGAAAAGCAGAGGCTACTTCAGCAGGAAGTAGAATTTCTGTTAAAGCACGGTTTAGTGGAGGAGTCATCTAGTCCATGGGCTTCACCGTGCATCCTTGTTAAAAAAGCTGATGGACGGTTTCGTATGTGTACAGACTACCGTAAGGTGAATGAGGTCACAATCACAGATGCTTACCCTCTTCCTCGTCTGGATGATGTAATCGACTTTGTGGGTAAGGCTACTTTTGTGTCCAAGTTAGATCTCCTTAAAGGTTACTATCAGATACCTTTGACGGATAAGGTGAAGGAAATCTCTGCCTTCGTAATTCCAGGAGGTCATTATCAATACACAGTTACCCCCTTCGGAATGAAAAACTCCCCCTCTTCATTCCAGAAACTTATCCATCAGGCTATTAACCCTTTGACTGTTTCAGGCCCCTCTCTGAAACTGTCATTCTATGTCGCTCAATTTTTGAAAAAAAAAAAAATTATTTTTTCTTATGAAATGATAGAGAATCTTTTCCCGATGGTAATGACACCAAAAGTTCAAAATTTGGTCGAAAACTCGTGGAATTATGCTCCCGCGAAGTTAGCGGTCTCTGCGACATATGCGTATCGGCGATTTCGCCGACTTTGAGCCCTATTTTCAGCCAATTCCATTATTCCAGTTGACCAAACTCATAGCTATTTCTTTAGAACTCCATTTTATCTATCAGCTGAGTACAAGAAACCTCCCATTTACTAATTTGGACTACCCAATATGGTGGTCAGAAATTGGCAATTGGCCAATTTCACGCAAAATAAAAAAGATGCCAATTTCAAAGTAGGGTCCAGAATAAACAAGGTAGACATTCCTGGCACTAAAATAACATATGCTCTGTTCATTAGTCACATCTCTAGGCCCCTCTTATATTATTATTTGCTTTCTATATTTTGATTTTTTATTCATACAAAAAAATACAAAATTTACTGTTATGCAGACGACTGCATTATTGTAAAATGGTATAAATAATATCAGTGCACTAGTGAAAGAATATTAGACACTCCCAGTTGACGTGTATTGGACGTGTGGTGTGATTTTATTTACTCTTGACATTGTAAAAAATCGAACATTTCCGCTACTTTGAGCTCAGTTTCAAGGTCGTTTTCATCGTAAAAGTAATGAAAAATATCTCTATTTCTATAATATGTTTTTCCATTTTATCACCTAAGACCATGAAAACGCGAATACAACGATAAATACTTATAAAAATACACCTCAAAGTCGGCGTTTTATTCCAAAAAAACGATCAGTTTTTTTTTTTCTCATTACGCAATGTGTGCTGCAGGATTTTTTTTATGTGGTGCACACTGACCACACAGACCCATTCTCTCACATGTGGGCCTACCAGCTTTCTCCCACTTGATTTGAAGCCGCTAGAATTATTGAGTATATATACGTCAGAAACATTGGCTCGTAAGACGTATTTATACGTCGAAAACAGTCAAAGGGTTAAAGGACTTTAAGGCATGGCAGCATACCTGGATGATATTGTTGTGGTGTCTGATACTTGGGATCAACACCTATTTAGACTTAAGGCTCTTTTTGAGACCTTTCAGAGTTCCCATTTAACTGTTAATTTATCTGAGTCTTCCTTTGGCCAGGCCACTGTTACTTTTCTAGGCCATGAAGTAGGTAGTGGTAAAGTTGCTCCTAAACTTGCTCAAGTTCTTGCCATTAAAGATTATCCAGTTCCTCATGATAGGAAATCTCTTCAACATTTCCTAGGCATGATAGGATTTTACAGAAGATTCTGTAAGAATTTCTCAGGTATTGTAGCCCCTCTTACCTCTCCTACCAGTCACAAAGTTCCCTTTAATTGGACTCCAGAATGTCCAAGTGCTTTTGATAAAGCAAAAAGATTATTGTGTACTGCACCCATTCTTTTGTCTCCAGACTTCTCCAAACTTTTCTCATTACAGGTTGATGCTTGCGAGTCTGGGGTTGGGGCAGTACTATTGCAAAACGAGAACGAGGAGTTGCAGCCTGTAGCATACTTTTCAGCCAAATTCCAGCCGCATCAGAGGGCTTACTCTACCATTGAAAAAGAAGCCCTCACGCTGGTACTGGCTTTGGAGCATTTCGATGTTTATGTGGGCCAGACATCGCGGGTGGTCACCATCTACAGTGATCACAATCCTCTAGTATATCTCCAAGCCATGAAGAACCACAACACAAGGCTCATGTGTTGGGCTTTAAGACTGTAACCCTACTCTCTCAGAATTAAATATATTGCCAGCAAAGAAAATATGTTGGCAGACTCTTTATCTAGAGTCTAACTATATTATTTAATTGTATATTAGGTTAGAATGTGTTAGGTTACTTGTGGTAACCCCTTCCAAGCTCTTTTTTTTTTTATCTCCTGGTGGTGTGGGTGTTTTTTTTTTTAGTGAGGGGATGCGGGCTACCATCCGCCTGTATCTTGGACCTAAGCTAGCCTGACTGTCTGCTGTCTCGCTTTGAGTTTAGGGTTTGACTTTTTGTCACGAGAAAAGCTGAGCTCTATCTAAGAGTTGAATGGTTGAGAGGAAAGGCAGTCCCATTATTTTGTGCCATGGTGGCACGGTTACCACTGGAAGGTGGCAGCCTAATCCTGAGCCTTCTCGCGGTGGGGATGTGGCATGCAAAGAGTACGTGACCTTTATTCGGCGCATGTACACACCCTCATTTACAGGCCATCTCCCCCAACCAGCGAACCAGGTGACTGAGAGTTGATGATGGGGCCCCGTCGTTCAACTAGTAACCAGGTTCCAGCCAATAAGAAGATGGTTTTGGCAATCGCAGACGTTATGTGGGTACCACTCTCCTGTCTGCCCTTGTCATTCCCATTCTAGAGCTGGTTGAAGCACGGTCTGCTCTCTTGTGGCTTCTATTCTGCCTTGCTTACCATGGAGTGCACTAATACCTATCACTGTACATCGTGTATATAGTGTACATATTGCTGTTCTAAATTGGTGAAGGATAATATAAGTCAAAACTTTTCTGTGTTTATTTTGCTCCCTTTACACCCAGGATAACAGGCCATTTGGACTCCTGGGTTGTAATAACGTAGATCTGTTTGGACAGTTTAAGGGTTAAAAATATACTAAAAATATAAATGATGCAAAGGTGACATTAAAACAATATCAAAGATGGCTGACACAAACCCACCACAATTATAGTATGCTCCTTGCTTAGTGACGAATTAATTTACCGACATGGTCTTAGGAACGGAACTCCATTGTTAAGTGAGGAGAGGCTGTGTTGTATGCAATAAGAACTTTTAAGACTGTTACTTATCTTAGGGTGGGCTTGATGAGGCTTGAACATATATGTACACAGAGCACTGCTCACCCCAAGCTTCAGCTTGCTGAGCAGTAACAGTATTCCCCATGAAGACACATCTGCATGGCACGAGACTTCCCGATAACTTGAGAGAGCCGTTGAGTGCCACCTCCCCCAGCAACAGTTCCAATTTTACTATCTGGTATTCCAAACCTGTAAATGCAATGAATAAAAATTAAAAGCATGTGACCTCAAGTGTTATAAAATATTCTGAATATCATTCTGCTTACAATATAAAAATGGTTACTATATAAAAATGGTAATTTTTGCATTACTATGCATATATAAAAATAATAATAAGAAAAGAAAGAAGGAACACTGCAGCAGGCCTACTGGCCCATGTGAGGCAGGTCCAAGTCTCCTACCAGCTTAAGGCAATGCCCTAACCTAGTCAAGTCAGGTCACATTCACTCAAGGAAGGAGCACGGCATCTGACCTAATAGCACAAGCTACTAAGTCAGATGCCCACCCACACCCAGTCATGTATTTATCTACCCTATTTTTAAACTCATGCTCATGCATGAGCGTGTTAGATAGGAGTGAATGGAGACGAATGATACTTGGGACCTGACGATCTGTTGGAGTGTGAGCAGGGTAATATTTAGTGAAGGGATTCAGGGAAACCGGTTATTTTCATATAGTCGGACTTGAGTCCTGGAAATGGGAAGTACAATGCCTGCACTTTAAAGGAGGGGTTTGGGATATTGGCAGTTTGGAGGGATATGTTGTGTATCTTTATACGTATATGCTTCTAAACTGTTGTATTCTGAGCAGCACCTCTGCAAAAGCAGTGATAATGTGTGAGTGTGGTGAAAGTGTTGAATGATGATGAAAGTATTTTCTTTTGGGGGATTTTCTTTCTTTTTTGGGTCACCCTGCCTCGGTGGGAGATGACCGACTTGTTGAAAAAAAAAAAAAAAAAAAAAATTTAAACTACACAAGGTTTCAGCTTCTATAACTGTACTCTGGAATTTCCTCAAAAGCTGTAATGAGTAATAAATGAACACACATGAACACATGCACTACACACCTATATATATCACCTACAGCCAATAATATTAAAAAAAATTTATCAGTAATCATGGTAATATTATTGCTACTGTACATTAATTCTTACTTGGCTTTCTCCCCAGCAAGAATTATGTCACACATTAGTGCAAGTTCACAACCACCACCAACAGCAAAGCCATTCACAGCAGCTATTACTGGTTTCCTCACATTAACTACTGTGTCAAAGTTCTTCATGAAGCTCCAATAACAATCCTTAAATTTCATATCTTGCATGACAGTAATGTCACCCCCTGAAAGTAAAAGAATCTTAAGATACAATAAAAATTAACCACAGTGCAGTGCATAATCTTTTTTTTTTTTTGGTTGAAATTTATTTAGTAAGGTATTACCTTAACTCAAAATTATATTTTTCCTATCAAGATACAATTTACTAGTATCAAGGATGCATTCTTAAACATGAATTAGGTGAGCAGAATTTTTATTGAAATCTCCATTATTAACCCTTTGACTGTCGCAGGCCCCTTTCTGAAACTGTCATTCTATGTCGCAAAATATTCGAAAAAAAAAAATTTTTCTTATGAAAATGTTAGGAATATTTTTCTGAGTGTTTTAAGCCTAAAAAAAATTTTTGCCATCAGTACTTACTGAGATATAGAGCCGCAAAGTTTGCAGAAAGTGACGTGCGTACGGCAACAGCGGCAACTGCCGCCCACCCGGTATTCTTTTATTTACTCTAATTCAAAGGTTTCTTGCATTTTTCAATATTTTTCTTTTCCAAGTAACTTATGTGGCCTGTGAGACCAATGTAAGGTGCATTGTTCAAATATACACTCATTGTTTACAACACAATAACAGAACAAACTTTATCACTATTAGTTTGTGTATACACTTTGTTTACACAAACAAACAATACAAAACAATGTGTATTACTATTGTTCCATAATATATATACATATGTACAGTCACTAAACACGTTCCTAGAACTGCTGCAGCTTGTGGAACTCTTTGAAACACTGGTATCTGCAGAGGGGCACTTGACACTCCTCACACATAAAACGAGTGTCTCTGCGTGTTTGTGGGCGTTTTGTGGTATGTGTACATACATAACACCTCTTCTGAGCATTTTTCTTGGCAGTAGTAGGAGGCAGTTATGTGGGGTAGTGATCACCAGGCCTGAAACGAGATGACGTGTGTTGGTAATTTCGTGGGCACTGGTCTATTGCAGGTGTTGCTCCTTGGTACTTTGCAATTATTTGTCTGATTACTGACAAACAAAATTCACCATATTTTGGTGTTTTGTTGGTCTTCAACTTGTATATGTTATAAGCATTTAGCATAGAGATATCAACAAGATGGAAAAAAAGTTTTATATACCACTTATAACTCTTGCATACACAGTCTGCAAACCCAATCTGCATGTCACATTTGTCCACTAAGTGCATATTGAGGTTGTAGTCCATGACAGCTGCAGGCTTTAGAATGGGTTCATTGGTGTGTCTGTTGTGCCTGCCACTGTGTGCCATTTCGTTTTGGTGAACTGATGTCAACAATGTGACATCACGTTTGTCATGCCACCGAAGTGCCATGATGTCATTGGCAGCAAAGGCTTGCACCTCACCTTTGCGAGTACCAGCGTCGAACCTTGGCATATGTTTACGATTACCACGCACTGTGCCACACACGTCTGTCAAGTTCACTTGCAAGAAATCACTGAGTAAGGGGCTTGTGTACCAGTTATCAGTAAATAACATATGCCCCTTACCAAGATATGGTTCCATCATTGTTCGAATCACATCACCAGAGATACCCAATAACTTCATGGTATCTCTCAAAGTATTACTGCCAGTGTACACAATGATATCCAAAACTAGACCACTTCTGCAATCACACAGTACAAATAGCTTTATACCAAAGCATTTCCTCTTGCTTGGTATATATTACTTGAATGAGAGTCTTCCTTTGAATAAAATCAAGGACTCGTCAATAACAAGCTTCCTGATGGGATAAAAATACATGCAGCACTTTTGTTTCAGGTACATAAACACATTTCTGATCTTATATAACCTGTCGGTTCTGTCAGGCCTGGTTTTGTCTGAAAAGTGTAACATACGTAACAGTATCAGGAAACGATTGACACCTATAATGTCACTAAAACCTGGAGTTGAAATCAGGTGTTCTGTTGCCCAGTATGTGGTGACAGTGTGCTTATACACATGTGGCATAAGCATTATTGTGGCAAAAAACAGGTATATCTCTGCCACAGTTGTCTCCTTCCACTTGTGTAGCCGTGATTTTGGTGAGAGAATTGTTTTTGCCATGGTGTAATCATAGTATGTGTTTGTTTCCCTGACAATGATGTCCATCAGGGGTTCATCGAAGAATAACTCAAAGCAGTCCAGTTCACTAGCATTGTTCCCAAGCGGACATGATGGCTTTATTCCACTTTGTGTTTCATCAAAGTCATGGGGACTGGGAACAAACTCGTCACCGTCCTGCCAATCCCAGATGCGGTCTGCTGGTGGGTTCTGGATATTGTACCGTGGTTGTGGTTGTGCAGGTTGTGGGAGTGTGGGGTCAGGTGAGGCTGGTTGTTGTGCAGTCAGCAGCGTGGGTAGTATCATGACCCGCTGATGGTGCCACATGGGCCGTGCCACCCTCACTATCACCACCACTGCCTGCTTCCTCACTCACATCATTCATACCCATCGTAACAATATCGTCATCTTCACTATCAGGTCGTGGTGTAGGGCCACGGGATGTGCTCCCAGAGTTTCTCCTTCCCCTTGGAACAACATATGAAACACTACCAGACCGCATGCTACGTCGTACATACTGCCGTTTCACTGGGGAATATTCACCCTCACTGTCACTAGAACTGCTTTCAATGACCTTGAAATCACTATCACTATCACATTCACTGCTAACATCTGGGTGTTGTACATCGACCAAATAGTTTCCTCTTTCGTCCTGGTACAGGCGAACGTGAACATGAACAAGCCGGCCCAGCACCAGAGGTGGAAGGTTGTGGGTCATCTGGGTTTTCATCACTAATTTTCGTTATCCTGGCACTTTTTCCGGTAACACTCACTTCAAAACCCTGGAATTCACTGTCACTGACATTTTCATCGCTGTTAGAGCTATCACTTGGGAACAAAAGACCTCCAATCCGCCGAGGAGTGAGGAACTTCTTACCAAGAGGCATGGTGAAAATGGACTAACAAGATGGCGTTCCCACAATGCACCGCTGGGTCCCAGATTTTTTTCACAGGGTGCATACCGACCACTGAGACCCATTCTCTCTCATGTAGGCCTACCAGGCCTTTCCCGCTTGATTTGAAGCCGCTAGAATTTGTGCGTATAAATACCTCGGAAACATTGGCTCGTAAGACGTATTTATATGGACTATTTTAACATGCTCTCTTTGAAGCTGCCGTCTCCTTCTTGACGTGCCATTTGTGTTGAAACAAACTCGGTGAGACTATGGTAACATGCTGCCGTCTTCCTCTCACCGTGCTGTTTGTCTTTAAACACACTCAGTGAGACTATTTTAACATGTAAACAGTCAAAGGGTTAAAAGCCATTACATCCTCAAGTACAAAATATCCATTATCCAGGGTTAAAATACTTTCAAATTTTACAAATGCTATAGGATACTGTATACCAAGCAGCACTGTATGACCCTAGTGGGTTTAGTGCTTGGTTCTGAGTGTAATAACTACATACCATAAGTGACAGTAATGGTGGCCTGGCTGGCAAAACTCTCACTTCATACACAGAGGGTCCAGGTTCGATTCCCGGTGGGGTGGAAACATTTCAACGCGTTTCCTTACACCTGTTGTTCTGTTCACCTAGCAGCAAGTAGGTACCTGGGAGTTAGTCGACTGGTGTGGGTCACATCCTGGGGGACAAGATTGACGACCCCAGTGGAAATAAGATAGACAGTCCTCAATGATGCACTGCCTTTCTTGGGTTATCCTGGGTGGCTAACCTTCCTGGGTTAAAAATCTGAACGAAATCTTATCTTTCAGCACTTGTGAGAGAAGAAATAGCTGTTAAATATTTTTTCAATGCATAACTAAGCTCTAGGTGATGTTATTAACAGTTATTACTGTAGAAAGAAATGGAAAATAAAAGCAAGATTTAATTAAGGCCATCTAACAAGAATAAGTCATTACTCTATGTACAAAAATATTATTTTTGTAATCTAAAGCTTTTAAGAAAAAGAGTACAGTAAGTTACATTAAGCATTTCAAATCAATAAATATCTAGGCCGAGTAGTCTTTTAATTCTCATGAAATCTAAAAATATTAATAGAAAATATATTTTAAAGTGTTACCTACAATGATAGTTGAATGCCGAAGAGCTCTTAATTCAAGGAATTGGAGGTACCCTTCCCCTTCTTGAATCAAAGCCAATTACTTTCCATTCCTCAGGTGCTGCATGACCCCAATGAGTTCAGTGCTTTCCAATGAATATGTACAGTAATGTGTGTATACTTTTCCAAAGCACAAAAAAAAAAAAAAAAAAAAAAAAAAAAAAGGCAATAATACTATTGTATTTTTTGCAAAAAACAATTATATATGCCATTTATTTCAACATTAGTATAAATTTAGGCTAATAAAAAAAATTAATTCAGGACAATTTGGGAGCTAAGAGACAGCCATTCACCAACCTGCAGAAAATACTTTTTCACCTCCAGTAATAACAATGGCAGCAACACTAGAATCAGCGTCCATATTTCTCATAGTTTTTCCCAATCTTCCCATATATGAATTGGTAAAGCTGTTCATAACATCAGGGCGATTCATTGTGACCACGCCAACACATCCACCTTCTCCTCGCTTATCAACAATGATATCTTCATTACTTGATGCTGCAACAAGTCATAAAAACAATTCACAAATGTAAAAAAAGAAACAAATAAAACATGCATAAAAAATATACAGTAAACCCTTGATTGAAGACTAATAAGGAAGGAGATGCGAGTGGCCATCATGGCGAGCGTGTAGGATGTGAGATTGTTTAACTGTGTTCCCAACAATAACATGCACTTTTGTAACCAACTAACTTTGACCATTTCCAAATCAATTGATCCAGCAGATTTTGTCCAATACTTTTTTTGAAGTCTGTTGAATTTCAGGTTTACCATACATCATTAATGTGCTGTATGACCCCAGTATGTTTAGCACTAGGTTTTGATAATAATATCATTAATGAAAATTATAAACCATCTAAAAACAAGCCTAAGATATCTGCAAATACAGTACAGATGATTATCATACAATGCTTCTGTTTAATGAGATTATTTGGTGATGCTGGTAGCGGGGAGTAAATGATATGTCTTCGGAGGCTTCTTACTTTATTTGCAAAGTCGTGGTGGGTACACAGGCTTGTGTGTTGTGCCCATGGCCAGGAGGGCCATGCCCACCAGGGAGAGAGGGAGTAGCCTTGTTGTCTGTGTCTAGGCCATGTTAGGTAAGACACATATGCAACAGTTAGGTATCTTTATTTCGAAATAATGGTTTTCGAAATAAAGATACCTAACTGTTGCATATGTGTCTTACCTAACATCGTCGGTATTTTATACATTTTAATGTTCACTGTGTCTAAGGCGCTGAGTGAGTGAAGCAGTGCAGTGGGACAGTGTCCCACTGACCCGGGCTGGCTAGAGAGGTGAGCACCTAGTGCCGAAATATACTAAGCTGCAGACAGATAGGGTGTCTTGCAGAAAAGTACAGGTCTGTCTACATTTGCTCGGCCACCTCCTTAGTTGTCCCGACTCGAGGTTAGAGAGAGAGCTTCATTAAGGTCAAGTTTTTGCTCCTAAACACCCTCCTGCTGCCCATGGACCTGTTCAAGAAACTGTACACAAAAGCTATGTTCAAAAGTGCTTTGTAGGGCTGAAACCAACGACCCAAAAAAGAGTTTTGGAAGGATCACTTTAATATCCTCAATTGTATAAACCTTGGGAGGGAGTGACTAAGAGGACCTTGAACTCTGCTTGGAAAAAACTGTGGCTAGAATGTGTAGACAAAAGGGATTTTAACCCTGGGAATCCTATGCCAGTTGAGGAATCCATTGTGGCATTGGGGAAGTCCTTGGGGTTGGAGGTTAGTGGGGAGGATGTGGAAGAGCTGGTGGAGGAGGACAATGACAAACTAACCACTGATGAGCTGCTAGATCATCTTCAACAGCAAGAGGCCAGACCTGAGGAAACTGCTTCGGAGGGGGGGACAGAGAAATTGAGGAAGTTGCCTACTTCAAAGATTAAGGAAATGTGTGCAATGTGGCTTAAAGTGCAAACCATTTTTGATGACAAACACCCTAACACAGCTATTGCAAGCCGTGCTGGTGACTATTACACTGACAATGTTGTGAATCACTTTAGAAAAGTCATAAAGGAACGAGAGGTACAGGCCTCTATGGACAGCTATGTTGTGCGACAGAAGTCCAGTGACTCTCAAGCTGGTCCTAGTGGCATTAAAAGAAGGGAAGTAACTCCGGAAAAGGACTTGCTACCTCAAGTCCTAATGGAAAGGGATTCCCCTTCTAAACAGTAACAACTTCGACACTCTCCTCTCCTCCCATCCCATCAATCATCACCATATCTTCATTAAAGGTAAGTGTCAATTATTCTATTGTTATTATTCTATTGTTATTGTTGTTATTGTAATTATTCTATTGCATTAAACTTAATATTTCATGTGGTAAAATTTTTTTTTTCATACTTTTAGTGTCTTGCACAGATTAATTTGATTTCCATTATTTCTTATGGAGAAAATTGATTCGCTTTTTGATATTTTCGGTATTCGATGAGCTCTCAGGAACGGATTAATATTGAATACCGGGGGTCCACTGTAATTAACACACGACATATATCTTCTCTCAATCTTCTCGACAATACTGACATAATTACTGAAGCACTCGATGTGACATCATGTGATGTCAGGCGTGACCTGGGCTGGCTAGAGAGGGCAGCACCTTAGTGCCGCGAAATATGAACTAAGCTGGCAGACAGCATAGGCTGCCTGTGCAGACAGTACAGGCTGTCTACACTTCAACATGAATGACATTAGTGAGTGCCTTGATGATGGTGAAGAGCTCTATGAGAAATTGACACTACCTTCCCCTTCCTTGGATGAAACCAGATTACCTTCCATTCCTAAAGCACTGCATGACCCTTATGGGTTTACCAGTTCCCCATTTTTATACACTAATGTACTGGCATAATGCCTAAATACCTTTGTTGTATCATCTTATCTCCTTAGTGTTTTCCTGTGAAAAATTATATATCTGCCCTGGATTTGTATCACTTTCTAGACATACAGAAATTGGAATTGGCAAGTACAGTGGACCCCCGGTTAACGATATTTTTTCACTCCATAAGTATGTTCAGGTGCCAGTACTGACCGAATTTATTCCCATAAGGAATATTGTGAAGTAGATTATTCCTTTCAGACCCCCAAACATACACGTACAAACGCACTTACATAAATACACTTACATAATTGGTCGCATTTGGAGGTAATCGTTATGCGGGGGTCCACTGTACTGGAAGTTGGCCACCATTCATAACAGACCTATGTCTATGCATGCATTTTTTATACTTTTTGTCCCTGACACTTCATTGTACCTGTATGGCTCCTGTATCCCCGAACGTGAATTGGTCGGATTTCTTGGCCTTCTGTTTGACTGCCAGCTGTTCTGGAAACTTCACATTACTTCCCTGAAAGCAACTTGCCATAGCTGTCTGAACCTCCTCAAAACCTTCTCATCTTTCATGGGGGCAGATCGTCTAACTCTCCTTTGACTGTATCCAGCCTTAATTTTACTGAAACTAGATAACAGCAACCAGATATATTCTGTGTCCTCTCCCGCAACTCTTTCTAAACTTGATCCCATCCATCATCTGGGACTACGTTTGTCTAGGTGCTTTTTGCTCCTTACCTATCATGAGCCTATATACAGAGGCATGTGTTCCATCCTTGAACAATTGCTGTGATGCCTGTTGCCTCCGTTATTTTGTCCGCTCTCATGACCTTCATGATCCTTCTACATGCAGGGTAGTAATGGATGTTACTAGAGGTCCATTATTTGTTCACCTCCCGTTTACTCCATCCCCTTTCTCTTCGTCTTCGCTCGCTCTTGACTTCTCTTCAGTTGCCCCCTTTATAAGTTTATCTAGCATCTAACTTTTCTCTTCTCCCTAGGAGGATCTGACAGTTCATGTCTGTTCTTCCCCACTGCCATGTGCAAAAGCTCAAATACTTAGTTGCTTCTCGCTCCCTTTTTCTCAACCATCTCCAGTCTCATTTTCATTCCATTGCAGCTTACACTGATGGTTATAAATCCTCTGATGTTGTTGGGTTTGCAGCAGTATTCTTGGACAGTGTTGTGCGACGTCATTATTTATTACTCGGATAGCATTTTTACAGCTGAACTGTATGCAGTTCTCATTGCAATTATCTGTATTGCAGCTATGCCTACCTCAACATTTGTAGTAGTCTCTGACTCCTTTATTAGAAAATTTCATTAACCTCATCCCCTAGTTCCTTGTATACAACTTTGGTTGCACTGCATTTCTAGCAAAAACAAAGAAATAATTTTCTGCTGGGTCCCTGGTCAGGACAACTAGCAGGCGGACTGTGCTGCACAGTCAGCAGTACATGACCTCCCTGTTTCTTATAGAGGTATTCCATTCTCAGACTATTTTGCTGTAATCTCTAACCACCTTCGCAACTGTTGGCAACATCGTTGGTCCAATATGACTTGCAACAAATTATACTCTATCAAGCCAAGTTTAGGTTCTGGCCTTCTTATCATCGATGCTGAGGTTGGGAGACTTCGCTTCCCGTCTTCTCATCGAGCACACCCATCTTACTCATGGGTATCTCATGGAGAGGTGCCCTATTCCACTGAGAATTGCCAGGTTTCAATTCAGTTTGCCATATCGTTGGACGACCTGTCTAAAACAGCCGCAAAATTTACCTCTACATTGTCACCACTCTAGCACCCCACTTTTTCTTCCCTCCAGCTAATGGTCCACCTTTGATTCAAACTCCCCCTTTTACAGCAAACAATTTATTACAAAAATTTTTATAATACAGCACTTTCTAAATTTAGCACTCCTCACATTCTTTCTATCTCTGCCAGTTTTCCTCTCCACCTTTGTATTCTCTGATCCACAAACCCCCCTGCCCTGCATGCTGATGACAGCAAGTTCCCGGGTTGGTTTTCATTATAATAAAAATTTATATAACAGTGATCATTTCCCACCAAGGACAGTAATCCAAGAAGATAACATTTTTAATTCAAAACTGTCTTGACAAACAGACGGATTTATAATTATAAACATGGGGAAGCTAACCCAGGATTTTAAAATCACCTGGGGTGGGGGGGAGGGAAAGGGATTCAGGCTCAATTCAGGGGAAATGGAGTACAATCAATTTCCCCGATCAAAGCCCCTCACCACTTTAAGGGAAACCCCCCTTGAAGGACATAAAAGGGCAACACAATTTAAGAGGCCCTCTACACTACAACATCCCCCCCCTCAGATGCTGGTACTGCAATTCCCCCCTCCAAACTTCTGGAGGTATAACAACGGGAAAAAGACAAATTGCACATTTTTCATCAAAATGCAGTACTAAGGAGATAAATTTGGTTGAAAGATTTTAAATACAAAAATCAAGCAAAATGAATAAAAAAAAGTAAATGCAAATAGTCTCTCAATTATATATAGTAGTATTTATGAACTGTGACTGGTTTTTCATTTAAAATTACTGCAGTTGAAGAAAGGTGCCAGCTAACCTAATGACATTTGTCTAGCTGTAAAGGATGGACTGAACCGACAAAGGCAAGCATTATGTTGACCAAACATTGCCAAGCTGAGAAATGTCTGAGGTTTCACAAGTTTGGCTATCATCATTCCAGCTGTGACTGTCTTAGCAGTTACCGGTACAATAAACTTGAGTAGTCTGAAAAAAAAAAAATAACATGAATCATATTATAAACATTTACTTGAGATGATAAATTTAACATCCACTTTGTCTTAATATCAGCTTTAATAGATTTTAGTTACACTATGACAAGCATACAAGTGTTTACTTCAGCTTAATTAAATTTAGTGAAATAAAACCAATCTCATGTAGAGAACTGTACAATAAAGACAGACTTCTTTTTAATTATAATAATAATAATAATAAAGACAGAGGACTAATTATCTGACTTAAGAAAGACAGCAGGAAATGTTGCTGGTTGAATACAGTATATGAGCACATCCCTTCAAGGGAAAGTACCTTGATGCTGGTAAACTGTTTTTTTTATAAGGAATTGGAGCTACCTTTCCCTTTCATGGAATAAACTTTATTGCCTCCCATTTCCCAGGCACTGTATGACCCATATTTATTGCTTCCCCTGAATTCAGTAGGGCCCCGCTTTACGGCATTTTGCCTTAAGGCATTTCACTAATAGGTTGATTTCAAATTATGACCAAAACTTGCTGTATGATTCCCAGTCTTTCTAATACGGCGTGCCCCACCTGATTTGTTAACATTCTTCGTGAGCACATCTCTCTATTATGTCTGGAAACTTTCCAAAATTTCAAGTGTTTTAAAGTTACTGCATATTTTATATGTACTCTGATAATTATACTTATGTGTACCTGTACCTAAATATATACACACTGTGCTGGTGTGCAGGTACACATTAAAATCACTGAGAGTCTCTACTCTTGATGCCATGTTAATAATAATATGCAATCTCTTGGGTGCATTAAATGTTGTATATTACATTAATACAGACATTTCCATTAATCCATCTATGATATTTTTTTTTCAAAATTATATAATAAACATTCTATGTAATGTATAAACATGATAAATACACCCCACAGTAAATAAATTAACATAAATACGTGTATAAGATGTGGTAGCCAGGCAACTTGTAGGACTTGTGGTAGTCAGGCGACTTGTAGTCCAACATCATAGAAAACGTGTACACTATAATATTACTGGGGGTAACTAGAAAATTATTCCTTTCGCTATGCCTTCACTCAGAGCGTCTTTTCTTCTAAAAAATGGTGTTACATGAGAATGGGAGTGTTTCTCTTTATTTATTCTACTGTATCAACGTGGTATGTAATATGATATAATACAAACATACATGAACGAAAACCAGATGCATTCACCTGGTTTGTTTACACTACGTGTGAGTGGGGGGGCGGGGAAGGCTGCCCTGGCTGGCTACTATACTTCCCAAACCTGACTTCCTACAAATAAAACTCACCTCTCGCCCTACATTAACCCTTTCAGGGTCAGCAGGCCCTCTCCTAAACTTGTCCTCAGGGTTAGAAATTTTTCAAAAAAAAAAAAAAAAAAATTATTTTTTCTTATGAAATGATAGAGAATCTTTTCCCGATCATAATGACACCAAAAGTATGAAATTTGATGGAAAACTTACGGAATTATGCTCTCACAAAGTTATCGGTCTTGATGATGTTTACGCATCAACGATTTTGCCCACTTTGAGCCCTATTTTCAGCCAATTCCAATGTACCAGTCAACAAAAATCATAACTATTTCGCTAGAACTCCATTTTTTCTATCGAATGAGTACAAGAAACCACCCATTCACTGATTTCAACTATCCAGTAAAGTGGTCAGAAATTGGCAATTTTGCCAATTTCACACATATTTCAAAAGATGCCAATTTCCAAATAGGGTCCAAAATAAACAAGACAGACATTCCTGGCACTAAAATAACATTTCCTCTGTTCATTAGTCACATCCCCAGACCTCTCTTACATTTCTTTTGCTTTCCACTTTGAATTTTTATTCTCACAAAAAAATAGAAGATTTACTGTTATGCAGACTACTGCATTAGTGTAGAAATGGTATAAATAATATCAGTGCACTTGTGAAAGAATATTAGACTTACCAGTTGACGTGTATTGGACGCTTGGCATGATTTGTTTACTTTTGAACTTTGGCAAAAATCGAATATTTCTGCTACTTTGAGCTCAATTTCAAGGTCCTTTTCTTTGTGAAACCAATCAAAATCATCTCAATTTCTGTAATATGTCTTCCATTCTATAAAATGAGACCAGGAAAACTAGAATACAACTGTAAATAGCATACGAAAATACACTGCAAACCGCTGTTGTAAAGCAAAAAGACAGTCGGAGTTTTTTTTTCTCATTATGCACTGTGTGCTGCAGAATTTTTTTTTATACTGTGCACACTGACCACATAGACCCATTCTTTCATATGTAAGCCTACCAGCTTTCTCTCACTAGATTTCAAGACGCTAGAATTTATGGATACTAGTACGGCACCAACCCTGGCATGCAAGCCGTACTAGTACGGCACCAGCACTGAAAGGGTTAAAGATACAAGACATGTAATACAGCCTCTCCTCACTTAGTGACGTACTCGTTTGCAGATGCCTCGGACTAATGACAGGCTCTCTGGCCAGTAACAGAAGACAATAGAGATAGGGGTGGGTATACTGCGTTTTCTTGGACAGCAGGAAGGCCTTTGACACAGTTCCTCACGACAGGTTAGTGCAAAAGCTAGAGGAGCAGGCATGCCTAACAGGAAAGGCACTGCAATGGATCAGAGAATACCTGGCAGGGAGGCAACAACGAGTCACGGTATGTGACAAGGTGTCAAAATGAGTGCTTGTGATGAGCAGGGTTCCACAGGGGTCAGTTCTAGGACCAGTGCTGTTTTTGGTATATGTGAATGACATGGCAGAAGGGCTATACTCAGAAGTGTCCCTGTTTGCAGATGATGTGAAGTTAATAAGGAGAATCAAATCTGATGAAGCTCAGGCAGGACTACAAAGAGACCTAGACAAGCTGTAAACCTGGTCCAACAACTGGCTCCTTGAATTTAACCCTGCCAACTGCAAAGTCACGAAGATTGGGGAAGGGCAAAGAAGACCACAGACAGAGTATGGGCTAGGTGGCCAAAGACTGCAAACATCATTCAAGGAAAAGGATCTTGGGGTGAGTATAATACCAAGTACATCTCCTGAGGTGCACATCAACCAGATAACTACTGCAGCATATGGGTGCCTGGCAAACCTTAGAATAGCGTTCTGATACCTCAGTAAGGAATCGTTGAAGACTCTGTACACCATGTACATCAGGCCCATACTGGAGTATGCAACACCAGTTTGGAACCCACACCTGGTCAAGCACATCAAGAAATTAGAGAAAGTGCAAAGGTTTATAACAAGACTAGTCCCAGAGCTAAGGGGAATGTCCTACAAAGAACAGTTAAGGGAAATCAGCCTGACACTGGAGGACAGGAGGGTTAGTGAAGACATGATAATGACATACAGAATACTGCAAGGATTTCACAAGGTGGACAAAGACAAGATGTTCCAGAGATGGGACACAGAAACAAGGGGTCACAATTGGAAATTGATGACTCAGATGAGTCAAGGGGATGTTAGGAAGTATTTCTTCAGAGTTGTCAGGAAGTGGAAAAATCTGGACAGCGATGTGGTGGAGGCAGGAACCATATATAGTTTTAAGACGAAGTTTGATAAAGCTCATGGAGCAGGGAGAGGACCTAGTAGCAATCAGTAAAGAGGCAGGGCCAGGAGCTATGAATCGATCCCTGCAACCACAAATAGGCGAGTACAAATTATACATAGTAACACATGTGCAAATTACCTAGGATAACCCAAAAAAAAGTCAGTGACTTATTCCATTGGGGTCCTTGACTCAGGCAGTTTACTGTGAGTAAATTTAGAATAAAGTAGCAGAATCCATAACACAGTAATTAATAATTACATTTTCCATTGCTTAGATCTTTCAGAAATTTAAGCATGTACAGTAATTGCATTAGAAGTTAAATGATACATTTTGAATATGAACAAACTGCATTCTGATACCAATATTTTTACACACTTCTAGTTTATAAAGACTAACATGCCAATTTAAAATGTTCCAAATATATTAAATTTACTACTCATGAATGTTATTCTGAGATCTAGGGATTATAATCAATAGTCAAGTAACAAATACAAAAAAGGTAGGGAGGAAAGGATGGTGTGCATTCTTTATGCTTTTTTTTTAAATTAAAGGTATATATCCTTTCCTAGAACACATCTATCACATAAAGCAAGAAACACTTGCTATTATGGAGCTTTAATAAGCTTAAGTTGGGTTAAATAAGCACATTTCTATTTACTACAATTTTAAACTTGTATGTTTTCATTAAGCATATAAGTATTTTAGGCATACAGCAAGTTAACATTTATAGTGAATATTATAATTATGTACAGACAAACAATGGTGATAAGTTATCACTAATATATACCTGTAATAAACTTCACTGTAACTATATTCCTTAATTAAAATAAGTCATACACAGAACTATTACAGTGCAAATTAATAATTTTAACTTAACTGAACATTTTTAAACAAAAAAAAATAATCATTACATACAAAAACTGACATTTGAAGATAACATAACCTAAGATACTTCCTATAATTTCTTAAAAGGCTTCAGGTCTACAATAATCACTCCAGTGTAATTATTATATCACTAAGTTTATATGGGTCATACAGTACTCGCTTCTGTATGGTTGTAGGGGTTAAGTCTCAGCTCTTGGTGGGAAGTAATCAGATTTGATGCAAAGATATGAAGGTTTGAAGTTACTTATTTCCACTGGGGTCCTGATATACGTATTATGTACTCCACTAATTCTCTTGAAGGGTCACTCAAATTTAATTAAATGCCACTGTCTGAGTTTACTGGAGTATTTTAAGTTAAATCTGCATATTTTAATAATAATAATAATATAATATCTTTATTTCTACAAGTATATGTACAAGGTATACAGGCCTAGCTGACATCATGGACATACTACAGTATAGAAAGCCCCTCAGTATGCAGAGCATTTCAGGCAAATCAGGTCAATTTTTGCCCCAGGATGCGACACACACCAATCGACTAATACCCAGGTACCCATTTTACTGACGGGTTAACATTGACAGTCGGTGTCTTGAGGAAACATGTTCTAATGTTTCCTTCTGTACCGGGGAACTGAACCCCAGACCTCAGTGTGTGAGCTGAGTGCGCTAGCGATCGAGCTAAAATATCAATCTACCCCAATAACAGTATAATTCTTTTTATTAAGGCCTTTCACTATGTAGCTAACATGCAAAAAATTGCACGCTTGAGGGGACACACGTTAAGAGCATGTGCTAAGTACATTATGCAGATGTAATATAGGTTAATAGTTATCATACCTTGTCCCAGTGCTAGATTTTAAAAATGTTGTTAAAGTTTTATGCAGAAAAATCACGTTAAATTCTGGCTGAAAATTAGCACAATGCATGCATTACATAAGTTTATGTTGTACTCATTATGCCATTAATGCATGTAAATTATCTAGGCTAACTCAAAGTCAACGCGACTGATATTCATTGGAGTCCTTGCAATTATGTGAATATTAGTTAAGTACAGTTTATTTAGGGACAGGTACACATAAGTACAGTTTATTTAGGGACAGGTACACATAAGTACAGTTTATTTAGGGACAGGTACACATAAGTACAGTTTATTTAGGGACAGGTACACGTAAGTACAATTATCATTCATAGTAACATAAGTGTAAATTACCTAGGATAACCCAAAAAAGTCAGTGGCTTATTTCCATTGGGGTCTATATCACCATTAATACAACACCAATGAGTCTGGCTAGTAAACACATGGGTAAATGCATGGATATATACTTGCTCTGGCGCCTCTTCATTGGGTACAACTTCAATGGGGGGAAAATAAAAGTCACAATGACTGTTGGGTTCTGTGGACATCAACAGAAGTCAGTGTTAATTTATAATAGTTACAATATAAAATCTTAGGAAAAAAAAAAAAAAGTAAACTTCATAATATAAACGTACTGTACTTTTTCTTCAACACACGTTAAGTTTATTTAGTAACTGCTGCTGCTTGTCGCCTGCATTAAGGTGATGCTCTCCAAGTTTCTTCTTCTTCTTCTGTTTGGGTTTCAGGGCCACTGACAGCATACGCCGTATCGAGCCCGGCCGTCCAGTGCTAGGAGAGGGAATATCGACCAAAGTGGAAGAATGTCTTGACTAATAACTATGTATTATATGTCTCTGATACGCCCTGAAGCCAGCAGGAAGGAGCAGGTACAAGCCAATATCTCCTGACGGTCCAGAGGGCGAAACCCCTCCCCGTTGAGGAGGACAGGTAGAGTGAAAGTGTGCACCCCAAGTGTGCGCAAGGCCGCACGGAGAGTAGTCCGTGCAGAGTGATAACGTGGGCACCACAGCAGGAAGTGTTCCACCGTCTCAGGCTGTGAGGGACACCACTGGCAGTACGGAGAGTCCGTCATCCGAAGGTGATATAGATGAGCCGCCAGTCGCGAGTGCCCGACATCGAAGGCGAGTCAGTGCAACGTCCACCGAGCCGAAGAGGGAGTGTGCAAGGCCCTCTTGCCACTGATAACGGATTCCCTTCCAAACAGCCCTTGTAAAATCACTGTGGCCCAGGGCAAGAGGGGTAACAGTAGGAAGTGTGTGCGCGAGGGAGGCCGCCCGATCTGCCATTGTCATTGCCCCAGATTCCAACATGGGCGGGAACCCACTGAAGGGAGATGCTCCAACCTGGACTCCGCAAGAAGCGCAGGAGGAGAGATTGTGTCCGACGAACGAGGACGCGCAGTGATCGTGGACGAGCAGAGCATAAAAGTGCCAGGGAAGATTGGGAATCAGGGAAGAGGACCAATGGTTGTGGGAGAATGTGATCTAGGACAAAAGCCAGAGCCTGGTGAATGGTGAAGAGTTCCCCTGCCAGAACAGAACGAGCAGGGTCCAACCGCCACGTTTAACACAGGGAGAGATTAGCAAAGAAGGTCGCAGATGATGTAGAAGGAGGGGAGGACCGTGCCGAGCCATCCGTGTAGACGGAGAATGAAAAGCCATATGTAACAGAGCGAAACTCTTCAAATAGAAATACAACTAACTGAGGGGGTTCCCTGTTCCTGTAGTGCCAATCTAGGTGAATGTATCGTGTCATGTCCAGCCAGGGAGGTGCCGGGGAGTGGAGAGGGAAGGGAGTCATCACAAGTGCAGGAAGAGTAAGGCAGGACAGGGAACGCTGGGCCCTGGCTACAAAGGAAGGCTGAGCCAAACGTGGGGGGACAGAGGCTGTCTCCCACATCTGTGAAGAGAGGCGACAGGGGTGAGTACAAGGCAGAGAGGCCATATGATGGAGTCGTAAACAGTTCCTCGCTGTCCTCACCGACGAGAGAGGGACTATCCCCTACTCTGCCTCCAAGGCTGCGATAGGGGTGGAGGGGAATGCCCCCAGCATGTTACGGATGGCTGAATTCTGGAGAATGTCTAAGCGATGAAGAGAGGAGGAAGAAGCCGAGTCATACACCTCACTCACATAAGTGAGATTGCTGCGAACCATAGCTATATAGAACTTATAGAGAAGGTCTCGATCCGCCCCCCACTTGGTGCCAGAGATCCGGCGCATAAGTGCAATGCAACGTGCACACGAGAGGTGGAGGGCCGCTATGTGTTTCTTCCATGTCAAGAATGGTGCATCTAAGGTGACTCCCAACCAACGATGAGAAGAGACTAAAGGGATTGGCGTCTGGTTCAATGAGACTGATGGAAGAGTGGAGAGTCGGCGTCTAGTAAAGCATAAGAGCTTGGACTTAGTGTCACTAACCTCCAAACCCCAGGTGGTGGCCCATGATGCATTGCAGGGCACCCTGAAGTGTTCCTGAGCTGTCAGTAAAGCTGGGGCACTGCACATAAGGGCCACATCATCCACATATACCAGGGTATGCACTCCTTGGATGGAAGGGAGATCCGACAATAAGACAGAGAAAAGGAGTGGGCTAAGAACAGATCCTTGGGGCACTCCCCAGTATACAGGACAGGGTGAGGACATAGTGCCACCCACTGCTACACGAAAGGTCCTCCCTTGCAGAAAGTTGCGCATCCAGCAGAGGGGAGCTCCTGTCAGCCCCGTGTGGGCCAGCTTGAAAACAATTGCTGTGTGTGATGCAGAGTCAAATGCTCTGCGTAGGTCCAAAAATGCAGCCAAAAGGAACTCCCGGCATTCAAATGAAGTGTGCACAAGCTGTGCAAATTGAAGCAAAGGGTCGAGGGTGGATCGACCTTCTCGGAAGCCACTCTGGTTATCAGGCAGGAGGCCATGTTTCTCAACCCACCAAGAGAGACGAGTAGCCACCAGTCGTTCCAGCACCTTACCCAAGCAGGGCAGTAGAGCAATGGGCCGGTAAGAGCTCGGTTTGGTATCATCCTTGCCCGGCTTTAAAATCGGAATCAGAAGAGAGTGTTTCCACATGTCACCTGTATACCAGCTGGTATTGAAAACCTCCAGCATAGCTTCTGTACAGGAGGGAGGTAGATGAAGTATAAATGAACAGGGTAAGTTGTCCTCCCCTGGAGAAGAGCGGGAAGAAAGTTGGTAAAGTGCTCGCTGCAGTTCATGGGAGCTAAAGGGAGATGCCAGCACCTGGCAGTGAACCTCGGGTATGGCAAGTGGCAAAGGGCCCCATTTGATCACCTTAGAGGGTAGAGGAGGAGGAGGAGAAAACATAGGACCGAAGAAATTTGCAAATGTCTCAGCTTTGTCCTGGGGTAAGAGTGGAGTCGCTTCTTCCCCCAGCAGGGGAAAAGTACTTACAGAACGTGATCCCAATATGGAGTGGAAGAAACCCCATGCCTGACTGGCAGAGGTGCGAAAAGAAAGAGAAGAACAGAATAAAGCCCAGGATGCACGTTTCGCTTGGAGGAGGGTCCTCCGACAAAGAGCGTCTGCCCTTCGGTAAGCCAACTGCCGAGTCCGAGAGGGTTGGTGCCGCCACTGTGCCTACGCTGTCCGACACGCCTTCACTGCTCGGAGGCACTCATCATTCCACCATGGAACCTGGGGGCATGAACGGAAGAAGCTCCCAGAGAGACAGAATGAATGCGAGCCCGCCTCAAGCATGGCCCCTTGCAGAGACGCGACAGCCTCGTCCAGCAAGGAGTCCTGAGGCAGGCTGTAATCAGCAAGGGCACAATTATAGTTTGTCCAATCAGCCTGGGTGATTTTCCACCGTGAATGAACTGCCATCACTGGCACTGCTAAGGCTTCATTTGTAGAAATAAGGACTGGAAGGTGGTCACTCCCCATGAAGGAGTCTACAGTAACAGCAACTATAGTAAAATATCCACACCCAAGAACGAGGTCTAGGGTAGAAACTCTCCCGGTATAAGGATCCACTCTAATCTCCAAACCTGGTGGTGTGAGCAACGAAAGGTGAGATGCAAGGAGGGTCTGAAACAGGGCTCTACCTGTGGGATTCACCGATCCCAAAGAAATGGATGGCTCCCAGAACTGGTGCCTTGCATGAAAGTCTCCTTTCACAAGTTTAGAACCACGGAGTTGTCCAGAGTAATAGGTAAATTCACTTTGTGTAACTGACCTGCCTGGATTATAGATCAGGAGTATGTTGCACCACTGAGTGTCCAAGGCAACTCTCACAGTCAGAGTTTCCAACACTCCACTCTCAAAGGCTTGGAGAGAGAGGGTCGTACTCTGGAGCTGGTTGCGTACAAGAAGAGCTAGGCCACCTCTGCTCCCTGCAAGGCGATCCCTGCGGTAAACAGTGAAACCAGGCATCCGAAGAGAATGTCGAGGGCGTAACCATGTCTCAGAGAGACCCACTACCAGTGGCTGTACCTCAGCCAGATACCTCTGAAGGTCTGGAAGCTTCCCCAGTACAGAACGTGTGTTCCAAAGAAAAACAGAGGGGTGAGAAAGGTTCACGTGTGTGAACTAAGCAGCCCAATAAGGCGAGGGAGAACCGAGAGACATGCAGTCACAAAAGAGGTACCCTGGAGGTGTGTGTGTGTGTGTGTGTGTGTGTGTGACTCAAGAAATCGTAATAACACGATCGCAAACAAACCATACCCCCGGCCGGGATTGAACCCGCGGTCATAGAGTCTCAAAACTCCAGCCCGTCGCGTTAGCCACTAGACCAGCTAGCCACAGTGGTGCCTGTGCTAACCTTCCTATGGTGTAGAAATATACCTAGTTGGATGAATCTTTTTGTGGCTAGCTGGTCTAGTGGCTAACGCGACGGGCTGGAGTTTTGAGACTATGACCGCGGGTTCAATCCCGGCCGGGGTATGGTTTGTGTGTGTGTGTGTGTATGTGTGTGCATTCACCTAGTTGAGATTGCAGGGGTCGAGTCCAAGCTCCTGTGTGTGTGTGTGTGTGTGTGTGTGTGTGTGTGTGTGTGTGTGTGTGTGTGTGTGTGTGTGTGTGTGTGTGTTTGTGTGTGCATGTGTATGTGTATGAGTGTGTGTGTGTATGAGTGTGTGTGTACTCACCTAGTTGTACTCACCTAGTTGAGGTTGCGGGGGTCGAGTCCGAGCTCCTGGCCCCGCCTCTTCACTGATCACTACTAGGTCACTCTCCCTGAGCCGTGTGTGTGTGTGTATGAGTGTGTGTGCGTGTGTGTGTATGAGTTTGTGTGTGTGTGTGTGTGGTGTGTGTGTGTGTGTGTGTGTGTGTGTGTGTGTGTGTGTGTGTGTGTGTGTGTGTGTGTGTGTGTGTGTGTATGAATTTGTATATGTGTGTGTGTGTGTGTGTGTGTGTGTGACTCAACAATCAATATTTGCACCAATAACTCATTACAGTTGTGACCGGGTGTGAAGTGTGAATTGCTCATTACACTATAATTTGTTCATGATTGTAGCCATGTATAAACGTAAGTAACCATTCTTACAGTATTCATTACCTTTGTAACTTGTGAGTTCATTACCTTGTACCTAGTTCAGCCATCAAAACTTTGGGGCCCAGTCCCTGGACCCATTACGTACCTCTGTAATCTGTAAATACCTTTGTAACTTGTCATGATTGTGACTAGACCTACCTGGAGTTCATTACCTTTGTAATTTGTGAGTTCATTACCTTTGTAAACTGTGAATTCATTACCTCTGTAACTTGCTCAGCTATCAAAACTTTGGAGTCCAGTCCCTGGACCAATTATGTACCTCTGTAATCTTTTGACTACCGCCCACAGGATGGGTATGGGGTGCATAATAAACATATTAAACTAACTAAAAACTGGAGGTAAGAATGTAGCACCTCCTCCACCAGGAGGAGGATAGGATGAAGGGATAAAGCCCAGGCAGGCGAGAGTGAGAAAGCGGGACCTTCAGACATGAAGGGTCTTGGATTGGGGACAGGCCGAGGCTGGGGTTGAGGAGAATGGGGGGGGAGTCGGCTGCGAGACGGGAGGCTCCAGGTCGGGTATGATGTCCATCTGAACTGGGTGGGGCTCTGAGCAATGAGTCGATTTGGGAACTGTACCACCTCGACGGGAGGATGTGCATTG